AATTCAGCTGCTTTCCTGCAAAAATCTCTAGGGGAACTTTCAAGGAGATGTGAAAGCCTATACCTATGCCCTCCTGTTTCCACACCCTGTTCTTCTTACTTCACCAACAGTCACTAATGACCTATCCTAGCTCGCCCCAAGACCCTCCTTAGAAAATGCAACTCCCCACTGAATCCACCGATGTCCCCAAACCCCATGGCAAGAACACTCCAACAGACAATTCTCCAGACAGCAGCTGAGCCAAGCTAGCCCACATCAGCTACGGCCCCCTGGCAACATAACTAGGGGATTTATTAGCATATTCACTAATATGCTAATCTGAAGCCCAGACATTTATTACAACTGCTCCAGAGTGGGGAGAAATAGAGAGCTGGCTCATCTCATACTCTGACATACCCATCCTGAAGGGCAGGGGGGCAACTAGAGAGGAGTTGAGGTAAGAGGAAAGGGATGGGGAGCAGCCCAAGAGATGAAAATTATGTAGAGTGCTACTGGGTTTTCCCCTCCCCCAAATTTCTACACCTATGTACTTTTTTATTATTTAATATTTAGTTTTTTCCCAAATACATGTAAAAAGATTCAACTTTTTTTTCAAATTTTGAGTCCCAAATTCGCGGTCCCCCCCCCCGAGAAGGCAAGCAATTTGACATAGGTTATACGTGTGCAGTCATGCAAAACACATTTCCATGTAAGTCATTCTGTGAAAGAAAACACAGACAAAAAAAAACCAAGAAAAATAAAGAAAGTAAAGAAAAAGTATCTTTGATCTGCATTCAGGCTCCTTCAGTTCTTTCTCTGGAGATGGACAGCACCTTTCATCATAAATCCCACAGAACTGTCTTGGATCATCGTATTGCTGAGAATAGCTAAGTTACTCGTAGTAGATCATCATACAATATTGCTGTTACTGTGTACAACGTTCTCCTGGTTTTGCTCATTTCACTTTGCATCAGTTCTTATAAGTCTTTCTATGTTTTTCTGAGAGCATCGTGTTCATCATTTCTTAACACAAAATAGTATTCCATCACAATCATATACAACAACTTGTTCAGTCATTCCCCAAGTGATGGACATCCCCTCATTTTCCAATTCTTTGCCACACTAAAAGCTGCTAGAAATATCTTTGTACATTTTTTTTTAAATCTCTTTGGGTTACAGACATAGTAGTGTTACTGCCTGGTCAAAGGGTATGCATAGTTTTATAGCCTTTTGGGCATAGCTCCAAATTGCTCTCCAGAATGGTTGAATCAGTATACAACTTCACTAATAGTACATTAGTGTTTTAATACCTATGTACTTTCAACCACACCTTCCCTACAAAGCATGCTCCATGACTTATCTGTTCCATACCTCTGGCATATGCAGGGCCCAAGCAAGTACTTTAGTCCTGAAGACCCCCAAAGAGACTAAAGTAGAGTAGGGGGAACTGGCAGACCCCAGAGTGACCAGGTGAAGAGGAGAAGAGAACAGGACAGGGGATAGGTGGGAACATCTGAATAGTGGGAAGTTGAGAAAGCCTTCAATAATTGTCTAATGGGTGTTTCTGCAACAATTTTGTCATTAATCCCCTTCCTGGTGTGGAGAGGCCACAATGAATACTCAAATCAATAATCACTGACTGAATACCTACTAGATACTCAGCCCTGTGTGAATGCTGGGAAGATAGAGAAGAAAACTGTAGCCTAGCTTCAGGAAGCTTACAATCTCACTGAGAAAACTAGGCAGCTAGGTGGAGCAGACACAGCACAGGACTTGGAAGCCAGAAGACCTGAGTTCAAATCTTGCCTCAGACACTTAGTAACTGTGTGATTCTGGAGAAGTCATTTAATCTCTGTTTACCTCAATTTCCTCACCTGGAAAATGGGGCTAATAATCAGAGCACTTACCTCCCAGGGTAGTTGTGAGGTTCAAATGAGATAACATTTGTAAAGTGCTTTGCAAGCTTTGCAAATCTGAAAATGTCCTATAAATGCTATTATTATTATTATTATTATTATTATTATTATTATTATTATAACAAGATATATGGTGATGACTGAGGAAATGTGAGCAATGAAGCTAAAGCTTCATTAAGAGGTAAACAGGGTGATACAGATGGTGGGAAGCCAGGACAGAAAGATGAACAAGGACTAGGGTAATTAATTTGATTAACAGGCCTGTAACTATGTATTGGGTGATACAGATACAACAACAACAATGAAACAATCCCTGCCTTCAGGGAGTTTATAGTCTACTGGGAGGAAAACTACATGTACACTGACAATCATATAAAAATTATGTGTAGATTAAATACAAAGTAATTTAATACGAGGAGAACATTAACAACATTCAAATTAATTTTATTTAGTGTTTATTAATCACTAGTGTGCATTTTAAGAGGCAACATGGAATAGTAGATAAAGAAACAGATGAACTTGGAGTTAGGAAAACCTTAGCTCAAATCAAGCCTTTGACTCTTACTATCCATGAGACCAAGATAAGCCACTTAACCCATCTGGGCCTCCTTTTCCTTATCTGTAAAATAAGGCAGTAAGATTGAATGCTGTCTAAAGTCCTTTCCAGTTTTAATCTGTGATGCTATCTTCTTGCTGTTTAGTCATTTCAGTTGTGTCCTAGTCTTCATGACCCCAATTTGGGGTTTTCTTGGCAAAGATACTGGAGTGGTTTTCCATTTCCTTCTCCAGCTCATTTTACAGATGAGGAAACTGAGGCCAGCAGGGTGAAGTGACTTGCCCCTAGTAAACTAAGGCTAGATTTGAACTCAGGAAGGGGAATCTTCCTGAATCCAGGCCGGGCACTCTACCTACCGTGTTATCCAGATGTCTCTCATGATACTATGACCTGGGTAGAAAGCCAATGTCTGACACTCAATTAAATGATGCTGGGCAAGTCATTTAACCAATACATGCCTCAGGCAACTCCCTAGGATTTATCTATTGAGCCACAAGTAGGTTTCAATCAGCACTGGAAAAGGAAGTTCCCACACTGACATAAATAACTGATCTTTTGTCTATTCACCTAAATGTAATGCATTAAGCCTAGCTTACAAAGATATAATTATGAACAAACAATAGAGTCTCTACCCTCAAAAGGCAGAAGGATGAGATAAATAACTATAACACAAGTTATAAATGTAAGTACGTTGGAGAGGTCCACATAGAAAGGCATGAAAGATTTAAGAAGGGAATTATTAATAAATGGGAGGGGGGAGGTATTCATGGAGGAGGTGAGACCTAAACTGTGCTTTGGAGAAAGGGAACAGTTTCAAAAGGTAGAGATGTAGGGCAGACCATTGCAAGTATGAGGGGAGGAGGTGGTTGCCTGTGGAGAGGGAGAGAGGAGCAGTCAGAATGGAGAGTAGGTAAAGGGGGCTATTTACCATGTGATAAGCCTGCAAAGGTGTATTGAAGTTATGCTGTGAAGGGCCTTAAATGACAGGAAAAAATAGTTTGTATGCTATTTCGTAAGCAATGGAGAGCCACTGAAGGTTTCGGAGAAGTGGAATACCATGGTCAGAATTTTTCCAGAGAAGATCTGTAGCCTAGTGCATTTGCATTCAGGAAGCCTTGGGTTCCTGCCTCTGACACCCAGTAGCAGCTGTATGATCATAAGCAGGGTGGCTAGGTGGTGCAGTGGATAGAATGCCAGGCTAGGAGTCGGCAAGGCTCAACTTTCCGAGCTCAAATCTGGCCTTAAGACATTTACTAGATGTGTGACCCTGGGCAAGTGATGTCACCCTGTGCCTCAGTTTCCTCATCTGTAAAATGAGCTGGAGAAGGAAATGGCAAACCACTCTAGTATCTTTGCCAAGAAAACCCCAAATGGGGTCACAAAGAGTTGGACATGACTGAAATGATTCAACAACAATGACCATAAACGCATAATTTAGCCTCTGAATCTAAGATTTTTCATCCATAAAAAGGATACCTGTAGTACCTACCTCACTGAGGTACTGTGAGGATTAAATAAGAAAATGTATGCAAAGTGCCTTGCAGACTTCATGTAGACCAGTGGAAAGAAATTGGCTTATGTGTTAAAGGACTTGGATTCAAATGCCACCTTTGATGCTTACTTCCTGTGTGAGTTTTGGCAGGTCTTAACTTAACACCTTAACACCTTGGACTTCAGTTTTCTCATCTGTAAAATAAGGGGGTTGAGGCTAGATGGCGTTGGAGGTCCCTTCCAGTTCTAGATTTTTTTTTAATTAAAAAAAAAGTTAGCCAACACCAAATAAAATAGCATTTCCATATACATAGTGGGAAAGAATAAGAAATGAAATTAGACATTTCTGTTATGGGAAGTTTGTTTTTCTCCAAGTCTAGATCTTAAGAACAATGGGATGACATGATTGAGAATTATTATTCAAGAGAGGCAATGTGGTATAGTGGATGGGACACCAGATTTAGATTAGGAAGACCTGGTCTCAGATCACACCAGTCACAGAAGTGACCTTGGAGAAGTGAGATAATCACTCTGGGCTTTAGTTTCCATGTCTGCAAAATGAAAAAAAAAACCCAAAAAACCCCAACTCATAACCTTTGAAGTCTCTCCTAGGTGGAAAGCTATGGTCCAGTTATTCTACCAAACAATATCCAACCTAGGAAATGGCCCCAGGAAAGGCTTGTAGCTGCCAAGATTCCCCACCCTGTCAGGCGATGACATTCATAGATGGGACTTCAGCCCAGCTTAAAATCCCTTAGACTTGTTTCTCCATCCTTTTGGTTTTTATTCTGGGCAAGAGGAAGGATTTCCCAGACTTCCTGGGTCTTGTAGTGCAGTAGATTTCAGTATAGTATTTGAAAGTGAAGAATTTTTTTCAGCTTATAACTATGAAGCTAGGCCCATTCTTTGGATGCAAACAAGGTAGGTTCTCAGGTGTCCTGACATCTGTACCTTGGTTATGAAATGGCAATTCTGAGGGACTCTGCCTCGGAAGCTCCAGAAATTTTAATGAATGTCAACTGTCTCCCATCAGTTTGCCAAGAGACTCTTTGTTCCAGGTGAGTCAAACCACCACCACCACCACCTTGACCACCATCTCCACTCAGACTCTGACGAGGACAGCCCAGGACCTTGAAACCAAGACTTGACTTGGGGATAGCAGTGTCCTCCTAACCATCAGGCCTGCTTCCAGCCTAGTCCCTGAAGACATCATTGAGAGGAAAAATCATTATAGACCCCTATGGGCAGTGTGGTAAAGACTAAGTACCCCTTTGTGCAAGAACGTTTTTAAAATACATAACCTAAAATCCACAGGATTACACATGAACTGATGCAGAATGAAGTAAGCAGAGCCAAGAAAACAATACACCCAATAACTACAGCAATAAAATGGAAAGAGCCACCACACACCACAACAATCAGAAGTGGGATGCTGCAAAATTTGCAAAGCTCAAGCGGGACTTAATGAAGAGGTAGGAACAGTCACCCCCAACCTACCCCTTCAAAGAGGCACGAGGTCCACAGGTGTTACACGTTGCACCTGTTTGGGGACTTTTTCAATGTATCCATCAGTTGTGCCAATTAATTTTCCCCTCAAAAAAATACTATTTGTTATATGGGATGGCTCTCTGGGAGGGAGAAAAGGAGGGATACTGGGGATCCTTACAATGATGTAAGAAACAGGAGACACCAATAAAAACTTATAAAAAAGGAAAAAGCTATCAGAATACTAAAAAAATATATTTACAACCCCCAAGTTAAGAACCTGTTCTAGGAGGAACCATGTGACTATGGCTCACCTGACATTAAAGGTTGGTTCTTTTTCCTTCTCTGTTTTCATTGTGGCTCATGGTGCTGAGGGGGTGTTTGTCTTGGGGTTGTGGATTATGCTGCTCCTTAGCCCACACACAACATGCACCAGAATTAGAAGGGTAAATATAATGAAGCCATTTCCATTTCTAGCTCAGAGCCACCCGGCTAGTACTGGGTAAGCTTATCATCACCTTCCCCTCCCCCTCAACAAAAAGGTGCCCCAAAGAAGTCAGCTAGCCTGTGGCAGCTGTCTAGCTGTCTAGGGTTGGTTCCACTTGGGTAGTGGTCATGTGTTGCTAGAAATCAGATGTTATTCTTGGGGAGCCTCCAGCCTAGAATAGCTTGGTAGGAGAGAAAAGTGTTGGAAAAGAAGATCCACTTGGAAAGCTTTCCGCTTTGGTGCTTGTAGGAGAATCTATACTTGTCAGGTTTAAAGAGAAAGGAATGGAAGAGCAATAAAAGCCAGGACCCCTTAGAAACTCTGACCAGTGGTTTGGTATTTGGGGGAGTTGCACAGATGGAGAACGTCCCCACCTTACTCATCAACACCAATGACAATTGCTGATCAACTGTCATTAACTCGAAGATAGGGAAAGGAGTGAGCTCTGGAGGTGGCAGTGCCCCTGCACCACAGACCATGGGTTCTGCTTCCAGCCCAGACCTCAGAGCCACCATCTGTGCAGGCAGCTGCTATGGAGAAGGAGATAGTCATTTCTACCAACTGCCAACCAATGTTCACCACAGAGTAGACAAAGCAGCCTAGCTGAAGCAGCAGGGCACTCTGAGGGAGAAACAGAAGGTGGCAGGCACTGGGCAAGTCAAACCACCACCACTGCACTGACCACCCCTTAGACCCTGATGTTAACGGCCCAGGACTCTTGAGCCTCAGAGCCTTGGGAATAACAACACTTCCACTCCCAGTGCCCATAGCCATCATTCTGGCAAGCAACCTATGCAGAGATGCAGCCTGGCAACTGCTCCAAAGGAGCTACAGCCAAAACATAGTTCTTGTCGCCAAAGTCCTTAGCCCTGTCTAATGATTCAACATCACAGGATTCTATCAGTGGAAAGGACATTAAAGAAGGGGCATTACCATTTGCTTTGCTGCTATACTCTATGGATCATGGGACATTTCCATATGACTTGAAGCTGAAACCTTATATGTAGGATATACCTTATATGGATCTACATATATCTATATCTATCTATCTATCTATCTATCTATCTATCTATCTATCTATCTATCTATCCATCTATTATCTCCTTCATTAGAATTGAGAGCTCCTTAAGGGGAGGGAATGTCTAACTTTTCTATTTATATCCCCAGAACTTTACACAGTGTTTTGCACAGATAGTTAAGTGCTACATTCATTCACTGGTTGAAGAACAGCATGAATCTGTCAGTCAATAAACATTTACTAAGTGCCAGACACTGTGCTAGGTACTGGCAAATGTGTCAAAAGACAGTTGCTGCCCTCAAGGAGCTAAAAAAAGGAGATGACAAGCAAAGAAGTATTTACAAAGGAGCTATATACAGGATGAACAAAAATTAAGAGGGGTTGGGAAAGGCTTTCTGAAAAAAGTGGGATTTTGGTTGGGACTTAAAGGAAGCCAGAGAAGCCAGTGCGTGGAGCTGAGGAGCATCTCTTGAGCTCAGGAGCTCCAGGCAGTTCGGTCTTGATTGTTCACAGAAAGAAAGAGATTCACCATAAAGGTTGCCAGATCTCCTGTGAAGGTCAGATATGAGTTCAAGAGACTTTTCACCAAGTGCTATAATCTACTTGATGTTATTAGTATTATTATTCCACTATTTCAATAGGGAAAGTCTTCATATGCTTGAGTAGACATCTTAATTCAATGACAGGTTGGAGGCATGTCAGTTATCCTCAACCTTGTTTAGACAGTTTACCGGGTGTGTGTGACCACTGCGCATGCTACAGCTTCTTGGAGCCATAGGTGAGAGTTGGGTAAATCAGGTGGACATCAAAAGTGGATGAGCAGCCTTCACACTGGAAGAACTAAGCCTCCTGAACAATCCATAACTCAGGCACAATGGGTGGATGAAAATTTGTTCCAATGGCCATGAAGGAAGCTGAAGCAGGTACTGTGGAGGGCTTAGAGCTTGGTCAGACATCGAAGATGCCAATGTCATCCACTGCATCCTGGGCCATCACCAGTCATCCTGACTTTTATTTGGACTTTGATGACTCAGGAAGAGAGAATGTAGCTGAAGAGTTTGTGCAATGCTACCTGATGTAAATGCACAAGTCAAGACATCACCCCATAGTGTCACTGGTCCTCTTTGGAAATAAGGGACAATTATTATTATTATATGGCACTTATATAATACTTTTATATTTGCAAAACACTTCATATATATTATTATTTCACCTGAACTCTACAACTCTGAGTGGTATTATAGACTTTATTATTCCCAGATGAGGAAACTGATGAGAAAACTGAGGTTTAAAAAGATGTGACTTGCCCATGTTCTCATAGCTAAAAAGTATTGTGGGCAGGATTCAAACCCAGGTCTTCCTGACTCCATTCCAGCACTCTCCATTATACCATGTGCCTCAATCAATTGACAAGTCTTCTTATTTTATTTGATCTCATTTGTTATCTCATTCATTCATTGGCTATTTATCTATCTATCTATCTATCTATCTATCTATCTATCTATCCATCAATCCATCCATCCATCCATCCATCCATCCATCCATCCATCCATCCATCCATCCATCCACCCATCCATCCAGTTAGCTAGCTAGCTAGCTATTGGGACTGGAACTCTGTCTCTTTTCTAGGCTGGAAGTGAATGGGCACAGGGTCTACTCATAGCGCTCAGTCTCTGATTGGTATGAGAGCTTTGAACTATTTCATTTCTGACCTGAGCTGACCTCTTTGGGCAACCTGGTAGCCCCTACCCTTAGTTCAAACACCCAATAGGCGTAGCCCACTGAAGCTCAAAACTCCTGAGCTCAAGAGATCCATCAGCTTCAGCCACCCTAGTAACTGGGCCCAGTCTGACAGGTCTTTATTAAGTACCCACTGTGTGCTCTGCCTTACATGGCAAGTTTGGGGGAAGAGAAGAAAATAAAAGAGAATCATGATAACTTGTCAGTGAGAGGTTACGGTTTGGCTAGGGAGACAAGACCCACATGGGAAGCAAGACAACCACGAATCAAATACTTGATTATATGGTACAGATGCTAAGAAAACCCAACTCCTCCCCCAATCCTGCAGCCCACATCCTAACAATCTATACAAGTTCTCCTGTGCCTCCCAGGATTAGGGTGTGACTCAAATGTAATTATGTACATGAAGGTACTGGGCTGTCCGGTGCTACACGAATCTGAAACCTGCATGTGAAAGGATTATTAGTCATCATTAGTAACAAAAGTCAAAGGAGTCTGGGCTGGAGAATCCCAACAGAGATATGTCACTGCTGCTAATTCTGCATTTTTAACTCCAACATAAAGCAATCCACAAGCCCCATCAGACCCACTGGAATGTGGGGCTGTCCATGAGACAGCTAACTTGATACAGATGTAAAATGCTGGAAAGATTTAAATAGTTATCCTCTGAGCCCCCTATTTCCTTTGACTCTATATGGGTCAGTGACCACACTGACAACTGAGTCTATATCTTATTTTAAGATGCCCCTTCGACCTGACCCCCCCAGAGCAGACCCTCAGCCGCCCAGCACAAGATCTGCTGACGTGCTCTGCCGGCCAAAGAAAGGAGGTTTATTTTTTCCTGCTCTCTGGAGACAAAACTCCAGTAAACAATTCCCAGCCAGGCGTCTGGGGAGTGGGGAGGGAGGGTAAAGAAGAGGGAACTGGCGCCAACTGTGGGTAATGTGTGTGGCTTGGAGCTGAATTCAAGACCTGGGACCCCTCCAGCCTGCTTTCAGATGGGTCTCTGTCTATAGTCCAGATTTGGTGTTCTCAGTTCAGCTGAGTTGGATTTGTTAACTCCAGAGACCACAGAATTTAGAATACAGAGCCCACCTCACAAATTTGGGAAACCCTTTAAGTTTTCTGTTGGGTACATTACTATGTCCAATCATCGTACCCACTTTGGCCATTGTCTTTGACCCTCCCTGACCCTTCCTCCTCCCTCATCCCAACCTACTTAACTTTCTGCTGGCTAGAGTTAGGAGTTTTGGTGTAGAGAGACAAAGCCTGTAACAATAGCAGAATGATTACCTTGAACTTGGAAACAGGATAGTATTGTGGAAAAGTGCTGAATTTGGTGTCAAGGACCTGGGTTTAAATCCCTACCTGGCTTATCATTCCATGTTACCTTAGGCAAGACTCTCCGGGTTCTCAGTTTGTCATCATTAAAGAAGGGGTTAGCTTAGATGGCCTCTAAGGTCTGTTAAAATAAGAAGGTTTCAAAGAGATCAAAGAAAGAGGGAAAGGACCCATATGTACAAAACTACAGCAGTTCTGTCTGTCGCGGCAAAGAATTAGAAACTGAGGGGTTCTCTGTCAACTGAATTATGTTACATTAATGTGACAGGATACTACTGCACTAATGCACATGATGAAGGGAACAGCTTCAGAGAAACCTGGGAAGACTGTATGAACTTATAAAGTAAAGAGGGCTGGACCAGGAGAATGATTTATAAAATGATGGTATTGTAAAGATAATGAACTTGGAAAAACTTAGAAACTTGGAAAAAAAATGTGTCTCAATCTGCACCCTGAATCCATCACATTCTTGATAGAGAGGGTATAGACTAAGACAGAATTTTTTTGAACATGGCCAATGTGGGAATTTATTCTGCTCGTATGTTTGTAATAGGGATTTTGTTTTGTTGCTTTCTTAAGGGAGGGGAAGTAGGAGGGAAAGCAGGCAGATCTTTGTCTGAAAAAAATAATTAAGTAAAAAAATTAGAGTGTTTGACTAGGTGATCCCTTTCAGTTCTAACATTTTGTGGTTCTATGATCAATGGTAAATTCTAACCTAAGTCTCATTAAGGTGTTAGATGATTATAGCTGTGAT